ATCCCCTCCCAGTCCCCCCAGTCCCCCCAGTTTCCCCAATCCCATTCCCAGTCCCCCCAGTCCCCCCAGTGTCCCCAGTACCTCTCCCCCAGGTAGTCCCCGATGGCCGTTTTGTTCAGCCCCTCCCCCTTGTAGAGGAAGCGGGCGATGTCCTCGGCCGTGTGCCGCAGCAGCTCCTGCTCCACCAGGAACTGGATCCCCTGGGAAGGGACACCATTCCCAAAATTCCCGGAATTCCCGGAATTCCCAAAAATTCCCAAAAATTCCCAAAAATCCCCGGCCGAAAACAACAAAATTCCCATTTTTTATAGCGAAAATTCGCGTTTTTTACATTAAAAATTCACATTTTTGGTTCTCAATTCCCCCCAAATTCCCAAAAATTCCCAAAATTCCCAAAATACCCAAAATTCCCAAAAATTCCCAAAAATCCCCGGCCAAAAACAACAAAATTCCCATTTTTTATAGCGAAAATCCGCGGTTTTTGCATTAAAAATTCGCATTTTTGGTACTCAAAAGACCCTGAATTCCCAAAAATTCCCAAAAATTCCCAAAAATTCCCAAAAATTCCCAAAAATACCCAAAAATTCCCAAAAATTCCCAAAAATCCCCGGTCAAAAACAGCAAAATCCCCCATTTTTTATAGCGAAAAATTGCATTTTTTGCATTAAAAATTATCATTTTTGGACCTCAATTCCCCCCAAATTCCCAAATTTCATCCCCGGGGAAGGGACACAATTCCCAAAATTCCCAAAATTCCCAAAATTCCAAAAATTCCCAAAAATTCCCAAAAATCCCCAGCCAAACACACCAAAATTCCCCATTTTTTACATCAAAACGAGCAAAAAAATTCCCATTTTTGATGCTCAAAAACCCCAAAAATTCCTGAATTTCAACCCCAAAATTCCCAAAAATTCCCAAAAATTCCATCCCAGGACCCCCAAACCCCCAAAATTTGGGAATTTCAACTCTTGGAATCCCAAAACTTCCCAAAATTCCCCCAAAAATCCCCAAAAAATTCCCAAAATTCCCCAAATTTCCTCCAAATTTCCCCCCAAATTCCCAAAATTCCCGGAATTCCCGGAATTCCCGCTCACCTTTTTGGGATCCATGTTGAATTTCTTCCGTCCCATCCCCATTTTCCGGTTCCTCTGCAGCGTTTTGCTGGAATTTTGGGGGAATTTTGGGGAATTTTGGGGCATTTTTGGGAATTTTTTGGAATTTTGGGGAATTTTGGGAGCTCCAGGGAGGAATTTTGGGGAAATTTGGGGGAATTTTGGGGGAATTTTGGGAATTTTGGGGGAACTTTTGGGAATTTTTGGGAATTTTGGGGCATTTTGGGGAATTTTGGGGAAATTTGGGGAAATTTTGGGGAATTTGGGGGAATTTAGGGGGAATTTGGGGGAAATTTGTGGGGAATTTTGAGGGAACTTTTGGGAATTTTTGGGAATTTTGGGAATTTGGGAGGAATTTTGGGGAATTTTGGGGATTTTTTGGGAATTTTTGGGAATTTTGGGGCATTTTGGGAATTTTTGGGGGAATTTTGGGAGCTCCTGGTGGGAATTTTGGGGAATTTTTGAGTTTTTGATGCTCTTGGCTTGGAATCTTGAGGAATTTGGGGGAATTTTTGAGTTTTTTGATGATCCAAGTGAGATTTTATTGCTCTTTGATGCTCCTGGGCTACAATTTTGGGGAATTTTTGGAAATTTGATGCTCCCAGGTGGGAATTTCGGGGAATTTTGAGGAATTTTGGGAACTTTTGGTGCATTTTGGGGGATTTTGTGGTATTTTTGAGTTTTTTGATGCTCTTGGGTTGGAATTTGGGGAAATTTTGGGGAATTTTGAGGAATTTTTGGGATTTTTGAGGAATTTTGGGGGATTTTGAGGAATTTTGGGGAATTTTGGGGAATTTTGATAAGTTTTGGGGAATTTTTGGGGAATTTTGGGGGAGTTTGGGGAATTTTGGGGGATTTTGGGGGATTTTTGATTTTTTTGATGCTCTTCGCTTGAAATTTTTTGGGAATTTTGGGGGATTTTGAGGAATTTTGGGGACTTATGGGGCATTTTGGGGGGATTTTGGGGAATTTTTGAGTTTTTTGATGCTCTTGGCTTGGAATTTTTTGGGAATTTTGGGGAATTTTGATAAGTTTTTGGGAATTGTGAGGAATTTTGGGAACTTTTGGGGCATTTTGGGGGATTTTGGGGGATTTTTGATTTTTTTGATGCTCTTGGGTTGAAATTTTTTGGGAATTTTGGGGGATTTTGAGGAATTTTGGGGAATTTTGATAAGTTTTGGGGAATTTTTGGGGAATTTTGGGGGAGTTTGGGGAATTTTGGGGGATTTTGGGGGATTTTTGATTTTTTTGATGCTCTTGGCTTGAAATTTTGGGGAATTTTGGGGACTTTTAAGGAATTTGGGGGGATTTTGGGGGATTTTTGAGTTTTTTGATGCTCTTGGCTTGGAATTTTTTGGGAATTTTGGGGAATTTTGATAAGTTTTTGGGAATTGTGAGGAATTTTGGGAACTTTTGGGGCATTTTGGGGGATTTTGTGGGATTTTTGATGTTTTTGATGCTCTTGGGTTGAAATTTTTTGGGAATTTTGGGGGATTTTGAGGAATTTTGGGGAATTTTGATAAGTTTTTGGGAATTTTGAGGAAATTTGGGGGATTTTGAGGAATTCTGAGCCTCCTCACCTGCCCAACCAGAGC